AGGGCCCTTCGGCCACAATTAAATACCTAGGACACCGATCTGCTCATTTTCCAATTTTACATGGCACCAGACAAGGCTGTCCCCTATCCCCCCTGCTTTTCGCACTAGCTATAGAACCGCTGGCCCTATTGATTAGGACTGACCCGGATATCCGTGGACTTGAGATAGGAGGCACTTCACATAAACTGTGCCTATTTGCAGATGATGTCCTACTTTTTCTCACCTCTCCCTTAACATCCACACCTACCCTTTTTTGCCTACTTGATAGGATTGGAATGCTCTCTGGTCTTCAAAATTAATCCCCAGAAGTCACTGGCGCTCAATATCTCGCTCTCACCTAACGAGCTTACTCACCTAAAACTGATACTGCCGTTCTCATGGTCGCAAGGTTTTGTTCCCTTTTTGGGTATAACACAAACTCTGCATATCTCAGGTCTCTATACCGCTAACTACATCCCTATGCTGGCTCATCTAATGGCACTTATGACCAAATGGTCCTCCCTTCCAATAGTTTGGCTAGGCAGTATAGCTGTTGTCGATCCTTTCCAAAATCCTTTACCTCTTCAGAGTTCTCCCTATCCCAGTACCCACCCATTACCTTCGCGTCTTGCAGCGCCACATTTCCTCCTATGTTTGGGGCAAAGTCCACCCACCCCCGTGTTCCTTGCTCTACTCTATACCGATCCAAACTCTATGGCGGTCTGGGCCTTCCTGACATTAGCAAGTATTACCAAGCGGCGCATATGGCACAACTGCAAAAATATCACGCTACCTAAGAAACCCCGCAGTGGGTTATTCTTGAATCCATTGCGTGCGACCCCTTTTCTACAGCAAACCTTCTTTGGCTGAGAAGTGTTGACCGCCGCACGATTGCGAATCCCATCATCACCTCACATTTCTTGTGTGACGGGAGCGACTTTTGGGGGTGGGGGGACCCCTGTATCATCTCCCCAAATCATTATGTTTAACCCCACCCTGTGCCTGTTTAAGGGTACAGGGTGTACATGTGAATGTCCCAGTATTGTGCATTTGTGTGTTGTCCTTTGTCTAGGCCACATGGCTGTCCATTGTTTGTTTGCCATGTGCTCCCCCCCCCCATGGTGCTGTGCCTTCCTGTCCAGCAAACTATTATGGGATGTACTGTTTGTGTATTGGTGTAGGGGTTGGTCAATGTCCTTTGCCGCATGGCTGCATCCCATTGTTCTGTGTCTTGGGTTGGTTGGGGTGGTTCCCTGTAGCCCTTCCCACTGATAGGGCGGGCTGATGATGTATTTCCTGTTTCCTGGTTGTGTTTCCCCGCCCTCTGTATATATTCTGTGTTTTGTGTTAAAATAGAGAGTTGGCTTTCTGTTTTAAGAGCTGGGTGCTGTCTATTTTCCTGAGGGATTTCAAGGGCGTGGTCCGTGGATGGTGTTCGGACAGGGGAAGTTGTGCTATAACGGAAAAACTCAGTGCGGTCTGGGTTCCGGTTCCGTTACATCTTGTTCCTTTGGGATAAATTGAAGTCCCGCTATCTCCTACAATCACCACATAATCCCCTCCTTTCATACCTTCGAAATCCAGCCTTCCCCCCAGCCTGGTCTGCACCACATGTCTTTGCTCATTGGTCTACGGCTGGTCTCACCCAGACACGACACTTCGTGTTTAGGAATAAATTTAAATCCTTTGTCTCACTATGTGAGTGCCATAACCTCCCTACCTCTGAGTTATTCAGGTATCTGCAGTTGAAACATTTCTTTGCTCCATACGCAATGGCTACCAACCCAGTATCTACTTTGTCTCCTTTTGAGCGAGCTTGTCTCAGGGTCCCCCATAGACGGGGCCTCATTACCTATTTATATTCCCTCTTCACAACCTCAACCCGTAACCGTCATCGTTACCCTTGTATACAAATAAATGGGAAGTGGATTTAGGCCGGCAAATTGACCCTTCAGATTGGGACCTCATTTGTTCATCGCAGAATATTGTAGCCCTGGAGACCAACTACAAAGTCCTGACCTGCTGGTACCTAGTCCCAGCTAGAATTGCAAAATTTTTGCCCCTGGTTACCCCTCAGCTTGTTTCAGGGGCTGCGCAGACCTGGGTACATTTTTTCATATTTGGTGGGATTGCCCAATCGTCCGAGCATTTTGGAGGTGGAGGTTTTTAGAATACTATCTACACTCAGTGCCATAACCCTCCAACCAAGTCCATTGGTTGCGCTTCTCAACCTGCGACCTCCGGACATCACAAAGGCAAATTTCAAACTCATTTTACAAGTCACCACTGCAGCCAAGCAGGTTATTGGTAAGTCAGGGAAATCTCCCTCGCTGAGTATGACTGCAGTTACGAACAGGGTCACTCGGGCGATGATTCACGCGAAAATAGAAGCCACTATTCTAGATTCCATCCCCAAGTTTAAGAAGATTTGGAATCCCTGGGTAGAGCATTTCCTCCCATCCAATTTTGATGACTCCCTTCTCAATCCGTAACCTATGTCCTTTACTTTACTAGTACCATTCCTTACCAATACTGCGGTTTCCCTTCCTTTTCCGCTTTCTGTGGAGCCGTGCGCCCCTATCCATCTCTTCCCTCCCCTTCCCCTTCCCCCTCCCCTTCTTGTTAGGCCTCAATTGCCAGTTGATAGCTACTTATGTTAGTAATGCCTGACCTTGTATTAATGGGAAATTCTATTGTGCAGTTACTGTACACCTTCAAAGCCCCACATCCTTACTTATCATTTTGTGTTGAAATATATTGAACAAGAAACCTGACATTTGCTTTCCAAAATGGGTAATTTTGTAGGTGTTTCCTCTGTCCTGGTGCTCCAGTGCCTCCACAAATGTGAAAGGTAGTCAGGAAATGACATGCGTAGTTTATGTTCCTTTAAAGGCCAAAGGTGCTCCTTGGATTTTGAGTGGATTTTTAATAAAAAATCTGGTTTTAAGAATTTAATAGAGAGCACTATGGTTGAGTGGCAATGCTGTACATGTTCCCTGGAGCTGGCCCTGATGATAGGGAAGACCTTCAACCCTCTAGTGCAGCTTATCCCGGCTAATTAACCACTTCCCATCCGGCCCATGTACAAAAACGGCCGGACGGGGAGAGCGGTGCAGGGGCGGGTGGCCGTTTATAAACGTCCACCCTGGTTGTGCGCGCAGTACTGCGGTGGACACAGCAGAACACCGATCGCTGTATGGGACCTCTGTGTGAGGTCCCGATCATGTGATCATTGATTGGCCAATCAGTGATCACATGAAGAGTAGCAAGCAAGATGTCACTTCTGACATCATTGCTTACTAGTTGTGAAATCTGTGAAAGATCACAGAGATCACATGGTACAGTACCATTTACAACAGCCTTGTACAATGTGACAAGCTGTGACCAATCACAGCTCACACAGTATTTCTCAATGGCTGCAGGAATGCAGCCAGAGAGAAGGAGAAATGATTGCTTTTACAGCCTTTATGGGTGTAAAAGCAATCAGTGAAAAAAAAATCTTCATTGCCCCCCACAAGTAGTACAGTGTCACTATGGTGAAACTGTACTGCTAGGGTGACAGTATGTAAAAAAAAAAAAACATAAATAATAATATAAAAAAATAAAATAAAAATGTAAAAAAAAATTAGAAAAATTATAATTTTTGGTTATAACCTAATTTGGGTTATTTTTATTTTTTACTAAAAAGATAACGGAATAAATTTTGGCCAATATTTCTGAAGAAATATTATTTATTTGCAAACGTTTATAAGAAAAACACTTTTTTTTCAAAATGTTTGGACTTTTTCATTTATATAACAAAAAAATTAAAAATCCCAGCGGTGAATAAATACAACCAAAATAAAGCTTTATCTGTCTCAAAAAAAGTTAAAAAATAAATATAGGTACAGTGTTGCATAACCGCGCAATTGTCATTCAAAATGTGTTAGCGCTGAAAGCTGAAAATTGGCCCGGGACAGGAAGGGGGTGAAAGTGTCCGGACTGGAAGGGGGGGAAAGTGTCCGGACTGGAAGGGGGTGAAAGTGTCCGGACTGGAAGGGGGGTGAAATTGTCCGGACCAGAAAGGGGGAAAGTGTCCGGACTGGAAGGGGGGAAAGTGTCCGGACTGGAAGGGGGTGAAAGTGTCCGACTGGAAGGGGGTGAAAGTGTCAGGACTGGAAGGGGGGGGAAGCGTCCGCACTGAAAGGGGGGGAAAGTGTCCGGACTGGAAGGGGGGAAAGTGTCCGGACTGGAAGGGGGGGGAAAGTGTCCGGACTGGAAGGGGGGGGAAGTGTCCGGACTGAAAGGGGGGAAAGTGTCCGGGGGAAGGGGGGGGAAAGTGTCCAGGACTGGAAGGGGGGGAAAGTGTCCGGACTGGAAAGTGGTGAAAGTGTCCGGACTGGAAGGGGGTGAAAGTGTCCGGACTGGAAGGGGTTAAAGTGTCCGACTGGAAGGGGGTGAAATTTGTCCGGACCAAAGGGGGGAAAGTGTCCGGACTGGAAGGGGGGAAAGTGTCCGGACTGGAAGGGGGTGAAAGTGTCCGGACTGGAAGGGGGGTGAAAGTGTCCGGACTGGAAGGGGGGGGAAGCGTCCGCACTGAAAGGGGGGTGAAAGTGTCCGGACTGGAAGGGGGGAAAGTGTCCGGACTGGAAGGGGGGGGGGAAAAAGTGTCCGGACTGGAAGGGGGGGGGGGGAAGCGTCCGCACTGAAAGGGGGGGAAAGTGTCCGGACTGGAAGGGGGGAAAGTGTCCGGACTGGAAGGGGGGGGAAAGTGTCCGGACTGGGTGGGGTGGTGAAAGTGTCCGGACTGGAAGGGGGTGAAAGTGTCCGGACTGGAAGGGGGTGAAAGTGTCCGGACTGGAAGGGGGTGAAAGTGTCCGGACTGGAAGGGGGGAAAGTGTCCGGACTGGAAGGGGGGAAAGTGTCCGGACTGGAAGGGGGAAAGTGTCCGGACTGGAAGGGGGTGGAAAGTGTCCGGACTGGAAGGGGGGAAAGTGTCTGGACTGGAAGGGGGGGAAAAGTGTCCGAACTGGAAGGGGGTGAAAGTGTCCAGACCGGAAAGGTTACAAAGTGTCCAGACCGAAGGTGGTGAAAGTGTCCGGACTGGAAGGGGGGGAAAGTGTCCGGACTGGAAGGGGGGAAAGTGTCCGGACTGGAAGGGGGGAAAGTGTCCAGACCGGAAGGTGGTGAAAGTGTCCGGACTGGAAGGGGGGGAAAGTGTCCGGACTGGAAGGTGGGAAAGTGTCTGGACTGGAAGGGGGGGAAAGTGTCCGGACTGGAAGGGGGTGAAAGTGTCCAGACTGGAAGGGGGTGAAAGTGTCTGGACTGGAAGGGGGGGAAAGTGTCCGGGCTGGAAGGGGGTGAAAGTGTCCAGACTGGAAGGGGGTGAAAGTGTCCGGACTGGAAGTGGTTAAAGGGGGATCTGCCCATTCCAACCTTTTATAATTTAAAGGTCCTACCAAGGAGGTGAGTTTGTCCTCTTGAGCTCATGGTGGAGGAGTGAACACATTTTTGTGCAGAATAATTTCCATGGCCTTGTGGAAGATGGGTTCAGTTTTTGTTGATGCTGAAGACTTTTAATAGACTAGTGTGGGGTTTTTTTGCACTATTATTTTGCAGTAATATTTATTTTGTTAAGGCATGCACTCATGTGTAAGTTTGTTCTATTAGACCTCTCACCCAGGGGCGGACTGACCATTCAGTCACTCGGGCACTGCCCGAGGGCCCGGGGTCAGTAGGGGGCCCCATAAAATGCCCTGGTACCTTTTTTATAGGCTTTTTTGAATGTGGGCAAGGACACAGGGGCCCCATGATTCCCTATTGCCCGGGGGCCCCATGAGTTGTCAGTCCACCCCTGACCTCACATCATGTGTTTGTTCTACATAACCAGGTATTGTAGAGTAGTGCAGGTTTTTAATCCTTCCTCTGAAGTGACACATTTCAGTGATGGACAAAAACTGAGACAGCAGCACTGACATTTATTAAGGAAAACAGTGTTAAAGGATAAGTTCACCTTTTGTAACATGTTACAGCCATATTCAGGGGGTAACATGTAATGATCAGACTGGCCCCCCGCACCCCCCCAATCCCCGCTGTGACAGCCAGGAAGGGATCCTCTCCCCCCTCGCTAGCTGTCAAATTTAAAAAAAAAACATACACCCCGTCATGCGGGGCCCTGCCCACCTGGCCGCATTACTCATTTACAGTCCTCTGTGAAGGAGAGACTACAAGTCCTAAAATCCTTAGTGGCTGTCGGCTCGCAGTCCTCGATGAACTCGCAGCTCCATGGTAGTTCATTCATTCTTCCTGTCAGTATATATCTGCTTGTATCTCATACATCCAGTACACCCCAGTACACCCCATACATCCCCTACATCCCATACATCCCCATACATCCCCTACATCCCATACATCCCCGTACATCCCGTACATCCCCATACACACCCCGTACATCCCATACATCCCGTACATCCCGTACACCCCATACACCCCGTACACATCCCGTACACCCCGTACATCCCATACACCCCGTACATCCCATACACCCCGTACATCCCATACACCCTGTACATCCCAGGTCATCCCATATACCCCATACATCCCATACATCCCATACATCCCATACACCCATACACCCTATACACCCCATACATCCCCATACACCCTGTACATCCCCATATATTCCCATAGTACATCCCATACATCGTGTACACCCCGTACATCCTGTACAACCCCCGTACACGCTGTACATCCCATACACCTCGTACACCTTGTACATCCCATATACCTCATACAACCCTATACACCCCATACACCCATACATCCCATACATCCCCATACGACCCCCCATACATCCCATACACCCTGTACATCCCATACACCTTGTACACCTCGTGCATCCCATACACCCCATAGACCCCTGTACATCCTGCACACCCCATATAGCCCATACATCCTGTGCACCTTGTACATACCATACACTTCATACATCCCCGTACATCCCATACATCGCATACATCCCGTACATCCCATACATCTCGTACACCTCGTACATCCCATACATTCCCGTACACCCCGTAGATCCCATACATCATGTACACCCCGTACATCCTGTACACCCTGTACCAGGGGCGGACTGACAACTCATGGGGCTCCCGGACAATAGGGGATCATGGGGCCCCTGAGTCCTTGGCCACACTCAAAGCACACCCAAAAAAAGCCTATAAAAAGTACCAGGGGCATTTCATGGGGCCCCCTACTGACCCCAGGCCCCCTGGCAGTGCCTGAGTGCTCGAATGGTCAGTCCGCCCCTACCCCGTACATCCCCTACATCCCATACATCCCGTACACCTCGTACATCCCATACATCCCCCTACATCTTGTACACCCTCGTACATCCCATACATCCCCATACATTGTGTACACAGCGTACATCCTGTACACTCCATACATCCCACACACCTCGTACATCCCATACATCCCATACATCCCCGTACATCCCATACATCTCGTACACCTCCTCCATCCCATACATCCCATATATCCCCATACATCCCACACATCTCGTACACCTCGTACATCCCCGTACATCCCAATACATTGTGTACACCCCCATACACCCTGGCAGAAAGAGAGAGACATCAAGATTTTCATTCTGCTGGAGCCGTCAATAGGCACATGACATGACTATCTATCAGAAATCCCAGCACGGCCTGAAGACAATGTATTATGCAAGTCATAGTTATTACATTTATTTTTTGGTGAAACACAGACTGGAATCAAGTAATCAGAAAATGTATAAAACATCATTAGAAACATTTGTACATTTTCATAAAATATTACAGTGAAAATGAAGACAAAGCATTATATTTTCTCTTTGTTGAGTCAGACAGACAGAGCAAAGATGATGAAAAGAGACTTACTAGAAACAATAAGAGAAGCATACAACTGAATTAGAAATACTGCCTTCAGTTAAATTTGTCTGAAATTGACTAGTAAAGTGAGCAGAAATCAGTCCTCCGATAATCACGTCTCCCTTCTGGTAATATTCATACTCAAACAATGGCTTGTGCATGTTAAGTCTACAATGAGGTGTGCTGATCTCCAGGTCAATACGATGCCATAGTATGTGATGTGAAGGATGAGGATGAGCAGGTAACAGACACAGAGGAGCAGGAGACATCTCATGTCACACAGCAGATCCTCTCAGTCAGTCACGGCAGATCTGCCCAGGAGGAGACACAATCACCAGAACTTTATACACATCGACTGAGACCGATTTACACTACAGAACAAAGAAGGGAAGAATAGAAACATCGACTGAGACCGATTTACACTACAGAACAAAGAAGGGAAGAATAGAAACATCGACTACAGATTTACAAAGAACAAAGAACGGAAGAATAGAAACATCGACTGAGACCGATTTACACTACAGAACAAAGACAGAAACAAAGAACCGATTTACACTACAGAACAAAGAACGGAAGAATAGAAACATCGACTGAGACCGATTTTACACTACAGAACAAAGAAGGGAAGAATAGAAACATCGACTGACACTACAGAACAAAGGGAAGAATAGAAACATGACTGAGACCGAAACATACAGACAAAGAGGGAAGAATAGAAACATGGACTGAGACCGATTTACACTACAGAACAAAGAACGGTAATAGTAACATCATCTGAAAATATGAAATCTATATCCAGCAGTGTAGCTGATCTAACAAAGTTGGGTTTATTCTTATATTTCTTACTCAGTACACCTTCAGTAGTTCAGAATTACAATTATTCAATTATAAGATATATTTCCCTAGAAATATATATATTTTTTCTAGTAAAATATTTTACATCCCAGGGTGGGGATGTCCAATAGGGGCGAATGAGTCATATATGATTTGATTTGTTGGGTGTTTGGACACAAGACCCACTCTTCTAGGGAAAACCACAACAAAAATTGGTCAGTAGAATGAGCTATGGTGTTTAATGAGTTTGAGGGACATGCTGATTAGGATCTGTATTGGTACAGAATTATTGAACCCCTTAGCACTCCCGCCTCCGTTGTACAGGATTGGTAGATCCTTTCTGCAGTCTTTTTAGCTGTTTCAAAATGTTCTCACCAATTTACCTTTACTCTCCATTTCATTAGCAATGCTTATCGGGAACACAATATTCAGAAAACTCTCCCCAACAGGGGCAAAGCACTAAAACATTTCACGATTGTCTACACCAGCCTTTCTCAACCTTTTCAACATAGAAGAACTCTTGAAGTAACTTTCCAGGTCTCAGGGAACCCCGGCTAAAAATGACTATATCTACAACTCATGATACATTAGTGTGATGGTCAGTGGGAAGAATGCTCCTTACACCTGAGGTCATTGGGAAGAATCCCCCCCCCCCCCCCCCTTACAGGTAGCTAAAGATCAGTGGTGTCAGTGGGAACTTATCTGATAGGCAGCAATTGCTCATTGCTCAACCTTTGAAGGAACCTTGTGGTTCCATGGAACCCTGGTTGAGGAACCCTGGTCTATACTATGAAAAAAATGGGTTTTCATTGCTGTCCATGTCCCTGTAGGAGTGATTACCTTTCTCTTTATTTCCAATCATCATTCTCACAAAGGCAGGATATAAAGGGAAATTTCCCCAACTAGGACTTGGTGAAGAATTAAAACCTGACAGAAGGGGACACCTACGGTACATGTGATGGAGCATGGCAGACATGTGACTCCATATCTCGGCTACATTCCAGCCATAAAACCTGGCAGAGACACTTCATAGGGACCCGTGGTGTTACAGACAGAGCTTCCAGCAGATCATTGTATGGTGAAAGTGGTTCTAAAGGGTGAAGGTTTCTTACTTTAAGGCATTCTATGCATTAAGGTACAAAACTTTCTGCATGCAGCTCCCCAGCCCCCTCCTTATACTTACCATTGGCTCCCACTGCTGTCAATCACAGGCCATGAGATGTCTATTGACACACAGAGCTAGCTTGGGAGCAGGCCCACACAAGTGCCCCCCATAGCAAGCGACAGCAGGCAGGGCCGTTACAAGGGGTAGGAAGAAGGGGTGGCTGCCCTGGGCACAGACGCTGCCCTGCTGGAACAAGGGTCTTGACGAAACAACGTACCTCTGTGTGGTGGTTAAACAAGTGCCTGCATAGGGTACATCATTTTATTAAGGGGATGAGGAGAGAGGAGAGAGAAATTAGACATGGCTCAGGCAGAATTGTTTCACTGGTAACAAATCTCACACTATCTACAGTAAATGGTTTATTGAAAGGCCACAGGTCTATGTGCTATGACAGCTTTTGAAAACTAGTGTGTTACCTGGG